ACGGCTGAAAGGACGAGCATGTTTGGTGGGACGGGGATTCGAACCCGCGACCCTCAGATTGCGAGTCGAGCTCCCTAACCACCTGGCCATGCCGGGCTGGTTTTAAACAAGTGATTTTCAATCATTTCCAATGTTATACAAGTCATTTAGAAATATTTATACATATATATTTTTAATGTATATTACACATATATTCTTGTTTTGTGTAAATCTTACTTTGCATACCTATCTATTTGTACGTAAATGTATTATGCAGGTCAGTACATAAAATCTGTATTTCAAAAGATTATTTTGTCTCTGTACTCAGCCACACACCACTGTAAGCTCAACGCTTGTCTAAGATCTTGTAACACTAAAGCTCGGGTTTCGATACTCGCGGTGGGAACAGCACAAATAGCCCATTTGTCTAGTTTTGTGCTTAACAACAAACAATCTACTTAATTAGCCAAAAAAAATAAAAAAACCTGCTGATTTATGAACTAAAAATTATTATGTGTACACTAAATTTGAAGTTTTCGCGGAAAATTAAAAACTTGGAGAAAAAAAACAATTTACAGTAGGCACGCATCTTTATTACTGTCTTTGTTACAGTTTTGTTTACTACTCTTCTTCATCACTAGGAGGCAAACGCAAGATACCATTTTACATTTGATATTCACGCTTGATACACTTGCAGCAATGCTGTACTCTAACTACTAGTCACGCTTACAGTAGTGCTGTACTATAGATACTAGTCACGCTTGCAGTAGTGCTGTGTTATAGATACTAGTCACGCTTGACACACTTGCAGCAGTGCTGTACTAAAGCTACTAGTCACACCTGTAGACGAATAAAACCTAATAATCTAGCTCAAGTAACGTACATAATTCAACAGTGTCAACTGGACTTTATATTTAGATATGTTATTTATTTAAATCCAAAATAGTTTATGCCACCTTTGGGTGAACTATTTTTAATGGTATAATATTAAAATCAAGAAAAATGATAATGTGTTTCAGAATAAATGAGACTTGTCAGGTACAGTTCAAAAAACAATAAACGCTTACTAACCATGGACCGGGTGTGACTTAAAGGCTAGCGTGCACATGGTTCCCATCCCGTTGTTGCAAACCTTCGCTCCACACTTTAGGACTATGGGTTTGCTTAAGAGTGATAGTAAAACTCCACTATTCGGTCACACAAGAACAGCCCAACATTGGGCGGTGGGTGTTGTTGATTAGCTTCCTTTCATCTAGGCTATCAGTTCAAAATTAGGGACGGCTATGTGTTACATAATTGTTTTAAATTGATTACAAACTTTTATTCTGTTAAAACCTAAGTAACTCCGATTCCGAGTTACCACTGTTATTTTCAGTTTTCCCTCGCACGTTAGATATCGTGAGTTTCAATAGAATGTGTTAGAATAATGCGTCTCCTACTTCCTTTCTACTTCCATTCAGAACCTGAAGACGCCGACTAATCGATCCTTTTTCTCGGTTGTTACATAAAATCAATAATATAAAGGTTGGATTTTCTAGAAAAATGGTTCCAGAATAGTTAGCCAATCGAAGATATGATATAAATAATTGAGCATAATATAGACACATAATTAAATCGGTTTTAATATGGAGTGTATCTATGAACATTTTCATTCTAAACTTTTTTGTTTCTATAAACAAAACTCAGACAGACCTGTAACGTCCAGACATGAAGAAGAACACGAGACAACTTTCAAGATTTACATACAATATTCG